TGGGTTGCTCATGATAGCATTAAGCCTTACAACAGGCTCCCCACTAGAGTTCTTTTGTTTTGTTTTGCTTTCTTTTAATTTTTTAAATTAATTTTATTAGCACATTGATTATTACAAATCATACTTATTCTTTATGCTCCTTACCAATCTCTCCTCTCCCCCTTCCCTGCCCTCTTTCCCTACCCCCTCTAATAACCATAGATTTGTTATCTCCATCTGATAGATTAACTGTTCTGCTGTTGGTTTGTTGCCTAGTTGATCTGTCCAGTACTGAGACAGGTGTGATGAAGTCCTCCCCTATTATAGTAAGTCAGATGATTCTTCTATTACTCTCTGGAGTGTGCTTTGTGGAGAGAAAGGGCCTCTTCTTCTTTTTTTTTGGTCTTCTCTGTTGCCTCTCCTTGTGTCAATGCAGTTGAGAGTCTGGCATGCTATCTGCATGGTGGCTGTGACTGCTGCTATAGAGACTAGCCACCTTTGCAGTAGCCATGACAATTGTGGTGGTTATGATGGGCTAACTGCATGGAAATGGCATTTTTAATGTGCTCTTTACCTGGTTGCAGCTAGGTTTGGCTTCCCCTGGTTCCATGCCTCATTCTAAGATGTTCTTGTGGAGCAGTTGGGGGGAAGGGGAGAAAGGAAGGAGGAAGGAAATAGGGTGGGAAGAGGAAGAAGGAAGGGGGGCATGATTGAGGCCCATGCTATCCTCCTCATTCTGGCAGGGGAGACCAGGGGTATTCCAGTAGCTTTTCAGTCATTGCTGGGCTGGATGTAGATGTCAGCAGGTCATGGCTGAAGCCCTTGCCCCCCACCACCCTGGCTCAGGATCCCTGAGTGCTTCCTGCAGCAGCTTGGTGGTTGTTGATGGGCTGGTTGCAGATGTCAGGGGGCCCCACACCATCCTGACTCAGGAGCCCAGGACACTACCAGTGGTGGCTCAGTGGTCATTGCTGGGCTGGTTGTGGACGTCAGGGGAACATGGCTGATGCCCTCATCCCCCCATCACCCTGGCTTGGAAGCCCATGGGACTTCCAGTCCTTCTAGGTTTTATAGGTGTTCTTTGGTGGTGTTAGATCTTTACTCGTTAATATTAAACTTTGTCTCTGATCTCTGAGTATTTTGTTTTTTCTTTCAGTTCTGTGTTGGATTATTTGCTGTTCCCACCAATTAAACTCTGCACTAGAACTAATTTGTTGTCCTTTGCTTACTCCTGAAATTGAGGAACTTCCTTTGGGGACCAGCACTTGAGCTAAATTGCTGCTTTACTGCTGATTTCCTGGGGAAGGCTTTTTGTGCAGCTCAGGTTTTAATTGTTGACCTTGTATGTACATTAGGGTCTCATGAGATCTGGTACACCTGTGTTGTGTGGAAACCCTGGTCTGAGCCTAAGTCGCTTCAGCAAACTGCATACCCTGCAGTTCTATATTCCTGACCAGTTTCTACTGATTGGGCCTGTGCAGATTGGAGGGCAGATCAGCTGTCCATGCTGTACCCTAGTGATCCCCTAGTGGCCTATCTCCCCTACCACTTGCACTCAAAACACTTCCCATGGGATAGGCTGTGTGCCAGTCCCTTGCAATGACTCACTGGCCTTTGAGTAGCTCCTTTTATCTGTTGTCTGTGGCTCCTCCCTCCTATGTGGTTCCACGGGAACCCTGTTAGTGGTCTTCCTGGCCTGGGGGCCGCTAAGGCCCTCTTCTCCCCTGCCACCTCCAAGCAACTCCATAAGAATGGCACAGCTTTTGCCAGCTCTTGCTCCGTGTGCTCACCAGTTCCAGCCTTGAAGCAGCTGGGCCTTGAAATGGTGGGAACAATCCTTTCTTTCCCTCATTATGGCTTCTCCTGCCTTTATGAACTCCGTAGGTCTCTCCTCCTCTTCCCCTGCACTCTAGCAGTCCCATCTTGGCTGTCATTGCTTTTTAATAAGTGTAAATTGGTTGATTTGTGGGAGAGAGTTACCCTGGGTACTGTCTATTCTGACATCTTGACTGGAAGCTGCTGCCCACTAGAGTTCTTACCATTGCCTTTACTCATGCCTTTTTTATTTTTTTACTCAGGGGAATCTGACTGAGTCCCCACCTCTCTGAACAGTCTTGGTTCCATTGAGGAATTCCTGAGAAAGCCTAGTGAGTGAAGCCCTTGATGGAAGGCTGTGGAGTGGTCCATAAGCCACCACTCAGCTTTCTGAGCCAGTTCTCCTCAGTGTCCAGCAGAGAAGTGAGTTAGGCCTGGCCATACTCAGGGAGGAAATAGGTACTTTGGAGAAGACAACTAGGGGAAGTTTAAGACTTCTTTGAAGTATGATTAGTTTGCCATTTCTCTTCCTGTCAAAGCCACAGCTCCACCTCTGAATGACTCACTGAGAGGCTGGGACTCAAGAGTCCCTACTTGGAGGCATCCCACTGGTCTGTAGCTCTTCTCTCCTTTCTTGTCCAGTCTCAAAAATTTAACATTCATTTCTTGCAGCTCCTCTGGGTAACTTCTTTGTCGAGATCAGGTTCTAGCCTGCCTTCACTCTTCTCCACAGAAAAGCATTTTTTCCATTGGAGTCTGAAAGTGTATTGACTGATTTGTGCAGGGCAGAGGTATAGACATTTCAGAAAGAAAACATGAATTTGCTTAGGTGAGTTTAATTTGTAATCTGGAAAGCTGCTCTATAGGGAGGTAGGAAACAGAACAGCCCAGTTTGCAGGCTTCCTGCTGGGAGTGCTGACCATTGGACAGTCTGGGCAGACACGGGGAGGGGTGGCCTTCAAGGAAAGTGGGTTTGAAGACATGAAAGCTTTGTTTCCTTGAAGGACTGTTATTTGTTCTGGCTTGGTCTCTCCACATCACCTTTCTATTCTATAATTTTAAACTGCACTTTGTTGAAGGGAGCCAGATCCTCTTGTCTAGAGGCAGACAGTCTCTTACCCCACAAACAGGAGCAAAGCCAGAGAGATCTTGAATCATAATAGCTTAATGGCTTTCAGTCCAATAAGTAGTGTTTCTGCTTATTGGAAACACTACGCATCAGTTCCCATCACTTGGCCTGTCTGTACTTAGGGTACTTGGTAGTGTGTTAGCTGGCCACCTTTGCAACCTCTTTTCTATTCACTCCTCCTTCTAGAGCCCCAAGTCCAGACTCAGGGAGCTACTGAAGTTTCTCATAAATTGCTAACCTTGCTCCTCCTTCCCTTTGAGTCATGTCTGCCACCCAGAAGCAGAGCACAGCTAAGAGATCAAGAGCAAGAGAAGCACATGAGGAGGATTTCCAGAAGTGGAACATTGTCTAACTTTCAATAATCAAAATGAGTTACTTGATTGATGCTAATGATGTGAAAAGATGTCAGAAGAAGTGGCATGTCAGTAAGATCCTTAGAGACATGAGATAAGAGAATTAGATTAGAAGACCCTCAGCTATTATTATATGACTTCCCAACAACATGTATTCCTCCCTAGTAGTGTTTATCACATGTGCTCTTTTGTCCATAGATAGCTGATTATTTAATTTACTATGACTCCATAGGTGAAAGTCAAGTTCAGTGTTTTAAACCCCCTGTTGAACTTTGTGTTTTGGATATTGATCCAATTGCTAGCATATAATCTATCATCAGTAATAATTTGTCAAATACTGTTATCTAATAACTTGAGATTTCTCTCTCAAGATCAGCATTCATTTCATCTGTTTTTCTATTTTTTCAAGTATCAGTCATGTGTGATTCTATAACTATATTCATATCACCTCCCTCCTCATCATTCACATGCATATATGCCTTAGTCTTCTATCAATGGCATTGGCAAATTAACAGAGAAAGCCTGCCCATAATCTCCCAGCTGCTCTGGATTTCTCTACTTCCAAACACCCATTGCTCTGGGTCTATGCAGTTACCTCTCTTTGTCTTTGATTAACTCTGCGGGGGAACAGATAGATCCTGCAGGAAGATCTTGTATATAGGGTCATTGCAGCTCAAAGTATCCAAGATAAATGATTTTTGTAAGTCACTCACTATGTCTGTTTATACATTTAGTAAAAGGATTTGTTCTTATCATATGTACACAAACATCATTTGTGGTATGATAACAAGGAATATCACTGCAGATGTACAGCAAGTGATGGGTTTGGTTACACTGCAGGTGAGGTAGTCAGAGCAGGTCTTTATAATAAGACAACAAGTAGGAAGAGAATTTACTGAAATCATACTAACATCAGAGGAACTTTACACACTGAGAGAAGAGCAAGTGTAAAACTCTGAGGCATAAGTGGTTTGCTCCTTTATCATTGATGATATTTTCTGCATGGGAAAGAAAATGATAGATGGTGGATCTCATAAGGATCTTGGTATAAAAGGTCTCTTCTATTCAGTGAAAATAAAGGAAAATAACCATCGCACAGATAAGAATGGAATTGGTCACGTGACATGAACTGGGAGGAAAGCATTTGAAATTATTATGAAAGCACTTTTTAGCAGGTTACCAGGCTCATTTGTTTTTCTGTCTCCCTTTTCTTTTTGTCTATAGTATTTTGATCTTGGCCCATCCTTGATTTGTCCACAATCAGCATTTCTATTCCTTCTTTTCTTACTCTGCTTTTTTTTTAACCTTCCCAAATATGCAGGAATCTGTGAATAAGAGGAACCTCAGACATCAGGACAGGCAGGAGCAGGGAAGTAGCTGCTACAGATCTGGCAATCCTGGTGAATGTGAACGAGGAGGTGACCTGCCCCATTTGCCTGGAGCTCCTGACAGAACCCATGAGCCTAGACTGTGGCCACAGCTTCTGCCAAGCCTGCATCACTGCAAACCAGAAAATGTCCCTAATAGGCCAAGAAGGGAAGAGCAGCTGCCCTGTGTGCCGAATCAGTTATCAGATCAGGAACCTGCAGCCTAGTCAGCATCTGGTCAACCTAGTAGAGATGCTCAGACAGATAAAGTTGAGCCCAGAGGAGGGGCAGAAGGTAAATCACTGTGCATGCCATGGAGAGAAACTCTTAATCTTCTGTAAGGAGGATGATGAAATCATTTGCTGGCTCTATGAGAGGTCTCAGGAGCACCATGGTCACCACACATTCCTTGTGGAAGAGGTTGCCCAGGAGTAACAGGTAAGAAACTAGAATGAAGGGAAGACAGGGCAGAAGATGGTACCTGAAGAGCAACCTCCACTTTGCATTCTACTTTAATTACCTTGTCATCTAAACCCAAGCCCTGATATTTCTTTCTATCCCGTGCTTGCTTTCTTAAGCATGAAGGATGTTTCTGTGCTCTCCACCCACTTACAAGAGCATAAGCCTAGAGTAAATGCACTTGAACAAGAGTAAATAATTGTATTTCTTTTGCTAGATGGATAGAAATTCAGTGCCCAAACAAAGTTATATTTATACATTTCAGCAAGAGAATAGAAGGGTGAGTTGAGATATAAGCTATTTCCTTGCTGCAGGATTAGGTTTTTCTTTGAGGACAAAAAGAATCAGTGTACTCTTAGCGATGAGATGGTGCCTTCTATTACCTGAGTCTTTAAAACACATTCATCACTTCAAGTTTTCATTGAACTCTTAGATTCTAACTGCCATTCCTCAGTTTCTGTAAACTCTAGTCTCTTCTGAGTTCAACTTGAGTTTTCCATGTTTCTCAACTATCCAGGTGCAAAGAAACCTCATAGCTTGACTGGTGTGATTTCTTTCTCACAGGAAAAGCTCCAGGCAGCACCTGAGAAGCTGAAGCAGCAGCAGCAGGAAGCAAAAAATTTGCAAGCTGACATTCAAAAGCAGAGAACTTCATGGAAATTAGGAGGAGACACTTCCTGAGGGAGTTGGCCACACATCTGGGCAGGATCTAGGGAAGGAGCCCTTTCCTCTGTATTCCCTAACATTTGATAAGTCCAAAAGTAAAGAAGTCATTTGATGAGTGATTACTCCTCTTCTTCATCCTTTCCCTGATGGGGGTAGGGCCTGGAGAGTGAATATGTCACAAATTAACATAGCTATTTGGAGAGAGCTATTCACATAGAGGGGCTCTCTGATGAGGATGGCTAGTGAGCACTTTGTTCTGTTCCTGAGGTCGTTTTTGAGCCTGTGACTCTTCTGGGGAAAGACATTTGACTCAGTTCTGTACTGAGTGTTCAACTTCAGCAGGGGTTTTGTGATAGAATGAGGAGTAACCAGGGCAGGAACGAGTGTTGTGGACAGATGAGTGAAAGCTAAGCCACCCCAGTTATCCCACTTTGGATCAGTGTGGGCCTCCTTAATACCACTGTAAGGTCATTGTTTTGGAGACATGAAGAGAAAATAATAGGAAAAATGTGCTTTCCTAAGAATTGTTTCCCTGCTTCTATCTCCCACCATGAGAACTCTCCAAAACTAATAATTCTTTTTCTGGTTCCCAGCCTCTTCCTGATAGACTGAGTGCCTCTCTCTTTTTTTCTTATCCTTGAAGAATCATCAAATACCGTATGAGAAGGCAATTGTCCTGTCAGAGTTTAAACAACGGAGAGGCATCCTGGACTGTGAGGAGCAGAACCAGCTGAAAAACCTGAGGAAACAAGAGGAAGATATTCTGAAAATCCTAGCAGAGTCTGAAAATAAGCTGGCCGAGCAGAGCCAGGTGGTAAGAAATCTCATCTCAGATCTGGAGCATTGGTTGCAGGGGATAGCGATGGAGATGCTACAGGTAAGACTTGGAAAGAAGTCCCAGCATCTGAGATTCAGGAAAAATCGAGACTATTTCCTTCAGTTGTATATTGCTGTGCACTTCCTGGTGGTGACACTAAAGTTCTTTGAGCTCCTTGGTACCACTTTCCTTCACCAATTATGGAGGTTATAGGAATAACTGAATGTATAAATAGCCAGACAAAATTCTTTTTTCATTAAACTTGTGAGTGCAGTGCAAACATTTGTTTTTGGAGATAAGATCCATTGTGCCCACTGCTAGTTTATAGGTAGGTCTGTGATCTAGTGATGAATAAATATCAGGCAACCTTTCATTTTTTTTTTTTTTCTTGTTGGAACATATGTGATTTATATATCTATGAAGGACAGCATTGACTATCGATACCTGTGTTCAATATGTGATGTCAAAATTACAATAATTAGTATATTCAACATTATACAATGTAATCAATTTTCATGGCCCTGTAACAATTTCTTCCTCATTTCTCTCTGCCTCCCCGTTTCCCACCTCTGGTAATCTCAGTTCTGTTCACTTCTTTTGAAAATTCAACGTATTATTGTGATTGTCGTTTCTTTCTTTTTTATTTATTTAATTTATTTATCTATTTTTTTGTCTCCCACTTATAAGTGAGGACATGAGGTATTTCTCTTTCTGTGCCTGGCTTATTTCACTTAAAAAATTTTTCTCTAAGTTCATCCACGTTTCTGTGAATGGCAGTATTTCATTTTTTTATGGTAGAGTAGTATTCCATTGTGTTTGTATACCACATTTTCCTTATGTAATCATCTGACAATGAACATTTGAATTGGTTCCATCTCTTGGCTATTGTAAATAAAGCTGCAATAAATATCAAAGTA